TATAGCAATAGTCTTATCACATTTATACACATTTATATGAGATTTCGCAACATTATGCAAAGCACATCGGCTTATCTAATCTTGATTATGATTATAAAGATGCTTCTATTTAAAAATTTCACTTGTACATCTGATTTATACGGGTACATGCGTACATGTTATTAGGTGAAATCTCGTATGAATATCAGAATTCAAGATTAGTTAGATCGCACAAAGAATATTTTCTAATATTAGAGAAACATGTGTATTCACAAATTGGCGACGATGTTGAGACTAACTTTGCGGAATCTCGCGTGCGGATTTATACATTCGATTCTGCGATTTTGAAGTCATTCTGATAGCAAGGGAACTAAAGATATCGTGCTTCTTTATCGGGGACATTTGAAATGAAACAAGGGCGGTTTAATGCTTGAGTTCCATCTTACGTGATGTTACAGATCTTAAGTTAGACACTCACTTATTAAATGTACTGCTATATCGCTATCACCTTGAATACTAAAAGAAACCGGTAAACTATGCGCCACTTTGACACTTAACACTTCGTAAAACATGTCAATAATATTTTGAATTATATCGTGCTATTTACAAAAGTTACCAGAAATAATCAGAAATAATTATAATTTAAACATCGCGAAAGATAGTTAAAAACGTCTAAAAAAATATCTGAAGGACATTCGAAAGAAAAGAATTTTTCCCAGATGTTTATTTTATGAAGTGCTGTTCTTGTCATATCTCATTTACACTTTTTTTTATTCTATCCAATATAATGTATTTTAAATTGCAGAAGTTTCAATTTTTTCTTAATTCTAGGAACTTTTGTTTTCCTTCTCATTTATTAGAAATTAAATAAATAAAATTTATATTTATATTTAAAAAAATAATATTCACACATATTTTATGTTATATAAAAGTTTATAATAATTTTTATTAACATTAATTATAAAAATTAGAGGGAGGGAAACTAGATTGATATAATTTATAAATAAACACATATTGAAAAAAATGTGCTTTTATCGAAGCTGAATATTTTATCTTTTATTTACAAATGTGTCAGTATATAGCAAATGCATTATAAAAATTATATATTTCCTCTCGAGACATAAATAAAATTAATGCAAGAATGTCCAATATTAAATTAATGTTCACAGAGGTAAAGTTAAGAGGTAAAGTTTTTTAGAGGTAAAAGTAAACGATGAAATTTTATTTCTTATTTAATGTTAAAAAGTTTATAGTAATAGATTGCATTTTTCATAAATAATGATTTCAAATTTCTTAAACAAATCTGTAACAGAATAGAAAGTAGACGACTTTTAATGTACGCTGCATATGTTACGTACCAGCGAGCATTCATTATTTACTCGAGTCGTTTACTGAAAGTTACACCCGCACGTGTTTTGCGGTTAGTAACGGCGACTTACGATACAAGCGGAATGTGCGGTCGAGGACATTGTATTGTCAAGAAGACTCGCGAAGGCTTATTAACATTTCATGGAGCCGACATATCGGTGATTTTCTCGTTGCACGATCTTTCCGGCAGGTTTATCGTGCGACCAAGTTTTGCCGATTACTATCTTCTTGCGTGATATTTAGATATTGTGATATTTTTAGATGAAATTAAAAACACATTTATTTTCAAAAATATATTTAAAATAAATTTAACAGATATTTTATAACGTTTTGTTCTACACTTTTATATAACCGGAACTAAAAAATCATAAGTCTGACTCTTGATCCAAATAGGTATATCACAACAGATATGTAATCACAATAGGTGATCTTTAGGTAAGATAAATGATACTTAAAATCTCAAACGGGCGTGTTTAAGCGTAACATACGAATTCGTACCTTTATAAGATCTTTATCCGTTTTGTTGCCTCATATATGCTTATCAATGCGTAAAGTGCAAAATGCGGTCTTTATATCGGTAAGATAACAGCAGAGGTTGACGTAAGAGTTGAAAATCGAGTGCGCGAGAGATTATCTTACGAGGAGGCAGTATGGACTAAAACTAATTTCCTGTCGCGGTATCGTGACGTGTCTCCAACTTGTGGCGACCGTTATGTAAACTTCTCTCGAGGTTACATAAGAGCGTAACGTTGCATATTCTTTTCGTCGTATAAGTTTGATCGATACAGCCAAACATGCGGCATTTCAATTTAACCGAACAGGTAGATGCGTAGACCTTAATCGTCCGCATTACGAACGATTACGTAAAAGTGGCAAGTAAAACCGTTTTTCGCACGTGATATTTGTCTTAGGATCGCTTGAAATTGCGTGCACGAAAGTGGAATCGAGTTTTATCGCGTGATACGATTATCGAACATTCGATTTGATTTACCCATTGAACTATCATTACCACGTTTATTACAGCACTTCTCAAAGGTCGGAAGCACGCGTAATGCAATTAATAATTAATTGACGTTTAACTTTCCAATACACTACCCGGCCATTACTTCGGAGAGTAATTCAACGACTTAAATCCAGCGACTTATGATAGAGCGAGCTACAGCGCGAACTAATCACTTCTTCTACATGAGATGCTATCTAACATATGACAGAAGAGACACTGGACGAATAAACAAACACTCGTGGTTGGTCACGGTAACCGAAGACGTACCGCAACCTCCGGGTTCCTGCGCCAAGGTTGCCCGCAAGTAAGCAACGCCGTTTGTTTGAGATGATCTATTTTCTGCCGTCCATCGATCGGAATTTATTTCATACGCGGAAGAACGGTTATCGATTACGATACCGAACCGTTATAGATACATTTTAATAGTGGTTAACGTATGCGGTTTCAGAATAAAACATATTTCACGTCGGATCCTTGCAAGCTTACCGATCACTTATACATTTGAATCAATTTGATATTATATAAAAATTTTTGATATTACTTGATTTTTTTTTCATATTATCAAATTTTTTTTAATTGAAATGTTTAAGTAGTTAACAATCAGTAAGTTCGCAAGAATCCGACGAAAAATATGTTTTATTCTAAAACATATGTTAACATTACCACGTTTCTTGATAATATCAAATTTTTCTAAGTAAAGAATTTTTCAAAATGATGATGCGTGATTTCTGAAAATTCTTGATAATATCAAATTTTTTTGAAAAAAATATGATATCAAGAGACGCGCTAGCGCCTCGCGCCAAGTATAACATCATGCTGGGAAATATTTCAAACGTGTTAATGACAACGCAATAACGAAGCAACATTGTGCCAATCTCTGTGTCGCGGATACGCAAGCTCGACGAATTAGCCGATAGAGTGGGCAGCGGGCGTAATGATCATCGGCACATAAATTTAGCAAGGAGACGAGGCGAGAGACGAAATGCCGGGCGAATAATCCAAACGTGATGAATGCTGGTCAGCTTTACTTTGGAACGGATCCACGCGAGCGCGAGCTCGGCGCTCCGGCTACGAAAGCTCCGAGAGTCTCTCTCTCTCTCTCTCTCTCTCTCTCTCTCTCTCTCTCTCGGATCTCCGGAGGCTCGTAGTCGACACGCAACGTCAAGCTCGCGGACGAAATTCTCTAACGCTTTTCGACGTTTGACATATTCGCCCACACGCACCTGCTGACTCTCCCTCAAATCTCTGAACCGCGCGCTTCGTTTCCACTTCGTTGCGTGGCATCCGTCCCCGCCTGTTTTTAACGATTCTTCAGACCGCCGTTGATAAATGTGCATTTGCCTTATGCGAGGATTACTGGATACTACAGATCTTTAAATAACATTATTTAATTTATTTGCCATTAATGAATGCTTCATACTTGATAAATTTCATCTCGACGCGTTGACGGGATTTATATTTGCATGTACATTTGCGTCCTGTCATTTTCCCGAGATATCTTTATCATCCGTTTGTCATCTTGATCATTAATGCAAGATAATTGCGCTCGACGTCGACGACGTCGTAGACGAGAGGCTTCGATCGCGGCGTGGGCGGCAATCGATTGTTTTTAATGCGCTTCCAGACATGTGGGTATATTTCACTTTCCTCGCGATGCCGAGCGTTCGGCTAATAAAATTATAACCTCGCAGCGTAGGAGCCCGTGCACAAAGGGGCTTTGAACGTCATCAACCGATCGTCTGTGTGCAAATGCACCTTTAAGTATTTATAGCACGTGACGTGTGTATCTGACCGCGACGGAAGGATTTATCGCGCTGCCGAAAGCAGCGTCAACTATTTCGCGAGATAAACAGGCTCGTTGTTTCCGCCGATCTTTTACAGGGAAAATACAAGCTGGACGGGGGAAACGCCGCGGCGACGGTACGGGCCTATCGAAATTATTAGCTTGTCAAGAAATTAATGTTAGAGAAATCATCACGCACCGTTTTCACTTACGCGCTACGCAGCACGCCGACTCTGGGATGCCGGAGATGAATAATTCCTGCGATTTTCTGCGGATTCATTGTGATGCTAAAAGTAGGTGTTGCACCTGACAGTAGATCAGATCGTTCTCCTTTTTTCCTTGATACAGACGAATTACTCGACGAATTTCTCTGGCAGAGTCAGCGGTGTTTGTCAATCGCTAGATTGACGTTACACAATGCTCTATCGCAAGTATAATTGAATCGTCCGTCATCAATTCTTTTGCTATCTTAAGAATAATTTTATTTAGATTTAATTTTTATATTTAATTAATTTATATTTAATTATATTTAATTTTTTATATTTAATTAAGAATAATTTTTGTATTCTAAAAATATATTTATTTTGACGTATATATTTTAATTTACGATAAAGGAAAAATTAGTAAAAATATTTTGACTCATAGTTAAATCAATCTTTTTCAAAACAACAATTTTAATCGCAAGTATATAATTTTCATTGTTGTCTTTCGTATCTTTGCAAGATTTCCATATTTATGCACCTTAAAAAAATGGAGAATAGTAAGATAATTTTATTTGAAGTATGGAGATAGAAAATACCAATTATTCTTTAGATTTTTTGAGAGAAACTTTTTGAGAGAAGGAAATTAGAGAGTTGATTCGAGATTTTTCAAATAAATTTTCCTGCGCATGTATGCGATTATACAGTTTGTTAATATTCTATAATTTCGCGATTGCGAGGGGGCGCATTTTTGATCGATTTGCGCCGTCGCTTTTACGCTACTTTCCGCAGCGCATCAGTCGTCCGTATGAAAGAGAAATCGAACACTTTCGTACGCGTCGTCTTCATAAATATTAGTTAAAGCTAACGGACCTTAACAGTCGTCTCGACGACTGTTTTTAGAGACAGAACCGGGGAGAGAGGCGGGAGATCAGTTAAGCCCTAGTTAACTTTAACGAATCTTTATGAGAGCGGGCCCTACGGCGGGAATGATTGCGGGAGGGATGATAGTTGGCACTAGCCCTGCGGAAATTGCGCGATAAATTCTCGCGGTCGCGAGCATCGCGACGTGGTGGAGAGGAAGAGAAAAAGATAGAAAAAGAGTGGAGAACTCGGCATGCTAACTTACTCACTTCGCAGCCCGCATTTTCCGCGACATCGGGTGGTAAGCCGGACAGAAACGGCCGTAAAATCTCTACCACTCTGGTGATTAAGGCGCGCCGCGACAATTCTTCGGGCATCTCAGAGATATTAGCCCGTACCGGCGCGGATCATAGCCGGCGAGGTACAAACCGTGCCTTCGCCGCCGCATCGCGACCATATTTCTTTCTCTCAACGAGCGGTGCCTTCGCCGCCCGCTATTCGGAGTCGCTATTCGGAGGCGCCCAATATGTCGTACCGGCACGAAAATTGGTCGCCATTCGGCCGGTTATTTGGGGACAGAGAGAGGCACTATCACGAATATAAACATCCAACGACCGCGATCCTTATGGTGGTACGGAGTTAGCAGGCAACTCCGCCCGGTTGCCAAGAATCTCACGTCCCTACAGCATCCGCCTTGCCGCAGTGCCAAGAGAACGTATTCTGTTTCTTCGTCTTGCTCACTCCGTCCGTCTCCCTCATTCTCTCTCCCTCCCCCTCCCCACCTCTTTCTCGATCCTCTCGCAGTCTTGTATTTTGCTCTCCATCTCGCTCTCTTTCTCTCGGCGGGAGAGGTTCCATCTTGACCTGGACTAGGGCATGCCGGTAACCATTTTTCCTCGGGCGCCCGTTGCTCCGCTCGATCGGTGATCCCTAGGCCAGAAAACATGGAACGAGAGATTAGTACAGCACGCAGCTGATACACCTTCTCTGTTTATCTTCTTCTCTGCCTGACTGCTCGCACTCGCGCGGAAAATACGCGCGGTAGGATAGGGAGAGAGGTGCGACGGCCAGCGACAACGCCGTCGACGGTGTGTCCATTCTCAATGATGGAATGGCGTGATGCATCAACATGATATTCGAAATTGTCGCAATTCGTATCGCCTAATGGCGCTCACCTCTGGCTGGTTATTTTTGTCGGTGCTTGAGTGATGAATCGATGTCGCCCGACATTGTGCTCCTTGGAATGTTTCTCTCGTTGGCCACAGCAATAATGAATTTTCTGTACTTGTACCTAAAAAAAGACGGTTATGTAAGCAAAATAACGTAATCAATAAGACATGAATAATTTCATCCTGTGAAAAACAATTTTGCAACGATCGAGCAATGGGAGAATATTTCTAAGCTCCTAAGATTAAACGTAAAGTTTCTTTGGGCGTGAAGTTAGTTTATGACTTTAGTTAGTTTATGGATTATCTTAACAATTTAAACGTGTTGATAGAAACAATGTGGCCGATAAACGTGATCGGCTCGTCGTATTGTTCGAAAGCGATACGTGTTCGCGCAATTTTGCCGCGAGGTCCGGCAATATCTCCTTGTAAATCTAGTTTAAGTATCTACTTTACATAATTAGAGTTGTTTGAATACCGCGCGATTTTCCTTTTACAATACACGCACGATTCCATCGCGGATATTACTTACGAACGTTGATTGGAACTACTTCGAACGGTTTGGTTTACGTGAGGAAAAGACCGATCATTAAATTTATTATTCGCCGTTCACGAAGTACACCATAGTGAAAAAGATGTAATAAAGTCTACGTATATTTACAAAATATCTACGCGCAACGAAATTAAAAATTTATAAAGATGACTAACTACAAGCTTGTAAATCTATTTTCTTGCGCAAATTACATTAAACTAAATATTTGACTGTGTTATTAAATAAAAACGTTCACTCTGAATTGAAAGTAAATATTTTTAGTTCATTTATATTTTTTTTTATAAGTTAGGCTAATTTTAGCAAAGTTAGTCTAAAGCAAAGTTAATCTAAATTTATAATATAATATAAATATAATGTAATATAAATATTAAGATGCAAATTATGTTACCTTTATCATGAAACGTAATTCATCGATGATACGATTAAATAATATACTAGGTAATATACCAGATAAATATTTCAATAGCACAATGTAGTTCCGTTTCCGTTAGTTCCATATGGTATGCTTGCGGGATACATGCAAATTACGTTTTAGTTTGTTCGATAGAGCTATTATACTAATTCCCGCCTTTCCTTCAATAATTCGTGTTTGATTAATAGTCAATAATTCGCGGCGTAGATGTGGCGATTCGCGCTGATTACGCATTCCTCGTAAGGGTATTCGAGACCACAAATGTGCACTGTTGCAGCTAACGCAATCGCGTCGTAATTGAACCATTACGACCGTCAGGGAAAATATAAGACTCGGATCGTGCCGTCTCTGCGAATCGATGCTTTACGACCCAAATGATCTACGATCGAATGCCTACGTTCGGTCCTATTTTGGCTGGAAAATTGCATATGATGAGCCATGATCGACGACGGTACTTCCCTATAATAAAATATAATGTTATTTTTATATTTTCATATACAGAATAATGATTGTTAAATTAATTAACGATTTTTTTGCATAAGTATATTCGATGCAGCTGTAAATATATTGTGAAAGACGCCAACAGGTAGAAATCTGAAATATCACTTTTACAAATTTGAACATTGATGTCGAAAAAGTAATTTAACGAGTTTTATACGTGAATTCGATTATCGCACTAATACGAATTGCACATTAAACATAGTTTATTTTTATATTAACATAAACTCGAAAATAATAAATTTGACAGGCACCAGTAAATGTTGAAAATGATGTTGAAAAATCAATATCGTAGATGTTTTATGGCATAGCCCTGTCAAAAGTTTTATTCGAGGTGAAACTAATTTTATCATCCTCCTAATTTTATCGTCGCGAAAAATTATCATTTTGATTGAAGGAAAGCATCGCGGGTGTTTTTTTTTTTTGCATGCGATTTAACGGAACGAGACCGCGATACGGCGCGTGAAATAAAAGTATTTATAGGCTGGAGCTTCTCGAACGGAATCTGGAGCGGACTCATTCGTCCGAGATGAACGATCGAACGCCCGGTATTTATCATATTGTTTTATTCATTCGTCGATTATCATCCTCGTCGTTTTACAAGCATTACGCAGCAAGCGCTGCATAAAACCATGGGGAGAAAAAGAGATCGGGGCACGGTCATTTCCGAATGAGGCAAATCGATGTGTATAAATTGGTAAAAGTATCGAATGAAATATATTCATCGAATACGTAAAATATTGAAGAAACATGACGAAAAATGTTGGAGAAAAATATTGCTGTTATTTACTACAGAGAAAGTACGAATAGCTTTTGGAAACTTTATTTATCGGTTTTATAATTGAGATGTAATTATAAATCATACTTTTTTAACAAATTATCATACTTTTTGATTTAATTTAATAGTTTAAATTCTCTTCAAATAAATTTATATGTTTTTTAATAACGTTTTGCATATTAAAAATTGTATAAAATTACTTTCTCTCTCTCTCTCTCTCTCTCTCTTTCTTCCTTTTTTTTTTTAATAGTAAGTTAGTTTAATAGTTTAATAGTTTAATGATAAGATATACGCAATATTCTTTGTGACTCTTAAAATCTTGTATATTAAAAATTATAATAAAATTATTTTCTCTCTTTCTCTCCCTTCTCTTTTTTATAATAAAATATGCGCAATATTCTTTGTTACTCTTCTTAAAATGTTGTAAATTGTCGCCGCTATTGTACAATTAACTTCGCTCCACATGATTAGTATTGTATACGATTGACAAACGAGTTATTACCAGTGTGCCAACTAGATCTGATCTCATCTGTAATGATGACTACTGTGCCCATTCGTTATTTCACAATCGTTCTCCAATCATCGACCGGTTCAGGTGTTCAGGATAGGAATGGGGATTATTGCCAATATAGACACAGGCGCGGAGAGCCTTGTGGCAAGACACACGCGAATGGTACGGTGCATTCCATAGTGGTGAAGTCGCGGGCGTTACAGCTTGTTACAATGGCGTCCGTGCCGAAGACCGAAACGCCACTAAACAATCGCCATCCTACGCACTATTCCTTGAGATTCTCCGCGCGGATAGGAAAGGCAGGAACTAGTTTTGCGTGATCAGCCAAGGCCTAGATCACCGCCGTCGATGTCACGGCAATTCGTGTTTATAGATTATCAATGACACACATTGACGTGAATGACCTCGGCGGTTAGCTCGAGAATCATTCTTGCACAATCTCCGTCACATTACATATGTGCACAAAAAGTGATAAAAACATTTTGCACGAATAGGCGTAAGTGAAGTAAATACATATTAAAAAAAGAGAAATAAAAAAAAAATAATGGCAGCTTTCTGATTTTTATTAATTATAAATTTTGCACAATCGCTTGTCACAATTAGCAGCATTTTCTGTTTTTTTTTCTTGTTGCAATGAAAACACAATTTTTCCGATTTATTATTATTTATTTATTGAGAAAAGTATTCTCCATTTTCTTTTGAAATTTTTCAAATAAAAATGTTAAAGTTGAAGTCTGTGGTTCGGGTCTGTGGTCGGAATCTCGTAAAATCTTTAAAATCTTTACATTTCGCGTTTAGTTTAATAGAATTTGATCTTGGAGCTTGTTTCTATTCTTGCTTCTCTCCCGAGAGAATCTGATTTAATATAATATCCATAGAGTCGAGTTGCGGCCATTGATCCGTTCGCGTATCTGATGTGTTCGTCTTGACGTTCGAGACGTAACTCGAATCGAGCACCGATTTGTTCTAGCGGATATATATTTCCTCAGCCGTAACAAAAATCTTTATCAGATGGTTTAAATTCTTGACGATTAATGATGGATGTAAAACTGGAGCATCGCCGGTCTCATTCGTTCACGTAATAGTTTTATTAATGTTATTTATATCTACATTTGCATACAACTCATTACTTATGATAAATGATACACTTTGTTAATTACCACGTATTTATAAATAATATTAGTTAAATTGAAATTTAAAATACTATTTTGTTAACTAATAATTTTTAATAGCTTTACATCTCTACATTAACTATATATAAATCTATAAAAAAATAGAATGAGAAATTTTTAGCAGCTATAGAGGAGCATACTTGATATGATGTTTATTATTTATTCCTTAAATTGTAACTATAGTCTTTTTATAAAACATAATTATAATTAAATACACTTTGTTAATTAGCATTAATTAGCGTATTGATAAATAATATTAGTAATAAATTGAAATTTAAAATATTATTTTGTTAACTAATAATTATTAATATCTTTACATCTCTACATTAACTGTATATAAATCTATAAAAAAGTTAAACTAAAAAATAGAGAAATTTTTGACAGGCACAGAAGGGTATGACTTGATATGATATATTTAATATTTATTCCTTAAATTGTATCTATAGTCTTTTTGTGGAACGTAATTACATTTATGTACAAGTTACAAATTAATCGGTAAGAAGGCTCGCGGTAAGCGAATATGATAATTCACGATAAATCTATAGAACACAAGAGCATAATGTAATATCATCGTCCGTCGTGATCTTAGAACTGATTAGAGTGAGGAAGCTTTTGCAGAATCGCGTTCGTCAAGATATTTGCGATAGATTGTCTGTGCGGCGAGACAGAAAAATTTGATCCGCACGTGGATAACCGTACAGTACACCTACGTAGCAGTAAACTATCGGCTATATCGAGCATATCGATGGTCTTGCTTGGTTTGGCCGGTCATTTGGCCTACTTTCGATATCTTAATCTCCATTCGCGCGACACGATACCGATTAGGCTTAACCGCGAACCAAAGTTTTTGCCCGCGTTGCAACAGGACGCCACGCCGGCTAAATCCTATCCGACCGGCCTCTCCTTATCGTTTTCCCTTCCAAGTTAGCGTCCAACAATATCTGCGTCTTGTTTATTGCTTTTCTGTTTTAACGAGGAAATATAATATTGGACTGTCGGTCGTTCGGTATCTCGCGCAGAATGCGGAAATGCACTGGAAAAGTTGTCGCGAATCGCGATTCTCAACGATTTAACGACACATCCACACTTGGAATGCGTGTATTACCGTGCACGTTAATCTCATGTAATACTCCGTGTAATATCGTGGCAAACGAGTTTCGCGGTTGTACCATCTACTTCACGATTTAACACTTTTATCTATAACAGAAGGAGATACGGCACGTTTTTTTTATTCTAATGGGCTTCGAAATGAATACGATCCG